CGGCTGCAGGAAGGGGTGCGGGTGCCTAATCGTCCCGGGTCATGAGTGTCCTCACCATCTGTGAGAGAATAGAAGACAGGAGTTTAGAATCGATGTTAAAAACATAGCACGACAAAGAATTCAATGAAGTGAAGATTTTTCCTTAACAGTTACATAGCCTCTCGTAGATAAGTACGGACGTCTCCATACCGATCATCGAGACTCTAATAAACCGGCCTGTGTCCCGTGACTCCTATGAATCTAGAGCTCTGATACCAACTTATCACGACCCTGGTTCACCAATTGTGAACCTGTCATGACGGCACCCAATCTTCGAGACTAGGAAAGCCTAACACATTGCGGAATTTAACTGTTCAAAATAAAAACAGTAAACAAACACTAAATAAAAAAGGAAGTGTATAACGATGCCGCTTGGCACATACACTGAATACACAACTCCTGAAAGTAACATCCCAAAGCCCGGAATCCCACGGGCAACACAGGTTACAAGAAGTCTAACACTGCTCTAGTCACCAGAATTTGTCTAATACAAAGAGAGGAATCGAAATAACAGCTAACAACTAGGGATGGAATGAGAAGGAGACTTTGCGGATCTGCGGACGTAGCAGATGTATACCTCAAGTCTCCAATAATGCTCCCTGACAGCTACTAGCGGTATGCCTGCTCAGATGTACCTGGATCTGCACAACAAAAGTGTGCAGAAGAGTAGCATGAGTATACTACAGCGGTACTCAGTAAGTGCCAAGCCTAACCTTGGTTGGGTAGTGACGAGGAAGGTCGGGGCCCTACTGAGGTTATAAAAAAAATAAAGATGTCAGGATAAGATAAGCAGTGCAATTGAGAACCTACAGTAAGAATCTATGCAGGATAATAAGAGTACAATAACGGAAACAATGATGAAAGCAAACCATAAGGAAAGTAACCGGGGATCTCTAAGTATCCCGAGGATCTCTTAGTATCCTCGTCATGTACTAGGGATCTCTTGGTATCCCGAGGATCTCTTGATATCCTCAATATAAGCTAGGGATCTCTTGGTATCCCGAGGATTTCTTGGTATCCTCAATATGTATTAGGGATCTCTTGGTATCCCGACGATCTCTTGGTACCCTCAATATATGTGCCGGGGATCTCCCGGGACTCTAACCCGTTGTCCCAAAGTAAAACACAGAGCAACAACACAAGAATATTAAATTAAACGCTAATTTCGTACCAAGTAAACATTTACTTCTAGCCCAACATACTTCACGTAATGCAATTCAGGCAATTTAAGCAAATAGGCAATTAAGTCAACTAAACATGCCTTTCTAGACTAGCAACATGCTAAATTCACAAGTAGCATAAAACAAGGAAAGAACTCAATTGAAATACTTAAGGAAAAACCGGATTTTCAACAATTAGCTCAAGTACGCGCTCGTCACCTCATGTATAGGGCATTTCAATTATCAAATATAGCACATCCTAAGGGGAAAGGTCCCCCACACAAGGTTAGACAAGCCACTTACCTCGAACCGGTACAAAAATCGCTAAGAAACAATGCCCTTGCCACGAGTATCCGACTCCGAGTGGCCCAAATCTATTCAAACCAATTACATATTGTAAATAACATCGCAAGTAACTAGTTCCACTATTAAAATCAAAGCTAAGGCGCGAAAATAGGTAAAATGACCAAAATGCCCCTCAGGCCAACGTCTCAGAATTGAATAAAATTTACATTTCCAGAAACCTCGTACTCTCACGAGTCTAACCATACCAAATTTATCCAATTCCGACACCATTTGGTCCTTCAAATCTTCATTTTATATTTTTGAAAGATTCCACAATTTTCTTCCCAAATTCTATCTCAAATCACTAATTAAATGATGAATTCAATGGTATATTCATGTATTCTAACCAAATCTGAGTTAGAATCACTTACCCCGACCAATTTCTTGAAAAACCTTGGAAAAATCGCCAAAATCCGAGCTCTATAGGTCAAAATATCAAATAAAATCCAAAACCTCGTATTTATAGAGTACCCCTCGGATTCTGACAGTGCTGACCGCACAAAAATGACCGCGGTCTGCGCCCAGGGTGTGCTGACCGCACAAAAATGGTCGCGGCCGCGCAGCAATTTGACTGCAGTGACAGGCTTCACTATTTAGGCCGTAACTTTCTCTAAAAATGTCCAAATGCCTATCATAATATGTTTCTGAAAACTAGAGTCAAAGCTCTACATCTTTCGTTTTTGAATCACCTCAATATTCCGTGTTGATCAAAAGATATGAGCTTCCGAAGTAGAACCAGCAGCCTGCAGATCTTCCCTGGCGCGGCCGCGCACCCAGCGCGAAAAGGAGCGTGGTCCGCGTCTCCACTGCTGCCACCTCCATTTTTCTAAGTTCCGGGGTGTCCGTACTTGCTCAAAACTCACCCGAAACACACCCGAGGCCCCCGGACCTCAACCAAAAGCACCAACGCATCCTAGAACATTATGCAAACTTGTTCCAATCATCAAAACACCTCGACTAACACTAAAATCATCGAATTACATCAACTTCAAGCCTAAGTTCTTTAAGAAACTTCAAAACACACATTTGATCAAAAACCCGACCAAAACATGTCCGAATGACATGAAATTTTGCACGCATATTAAATCATCTAACGAAGCTACAGCAACTTCCGGAATTCCGTTCCGACCCTTGGATCAAAATTTAACGTATCAACCGGAATTTGTCAAAATACTAACTTTCGGCATTTCTAGCCTAAATGAGCTACGGACTTCCAAAATATATTCCGAACACGCTCCCAACCCCGAAATCACCTAACGGAGCTAACGGAACCATCAGATTTCCATTCCGAGGCCATCTTCACACTGTTCCGATTACGGACCATTTTTCAACACTTAAGCTCTTATTTAGGGACTAAGTGTCCCAAAACACTCCGAATCCCAACACCGAATGTCCCAGCAAACCAGAATAGCAGAAATGAACTTAGGGGAAACGGTTAATGGGGAAACGGGGCATAAATTCCAAAGACGACAGGCTGGGTCGTCACACTCAAAATTTTGGGAGGTATATATATATATATATATATGTTTCTATTGATGATTATCCTTACTTTTGCATAGGTCATATTTTTTAATAAGAAAATAACGCATTTGCAGTGATTATCGATGTGTGTCTTAATAGTATCTATTTGATATTTTCTTGCAACAAGCATGATCTTTCACATTTTTAGTTTGACGCTTCAGTTGAAAGCAGACTTGAAAAGAAAGCATCATTTTTGCATAAATTGTCATCATTGGCTTATATGTGCTTTGATATTTTCTTTGGATCTTATCTTGAATGAAATCTTGTCTGAGCTATGGGAAGGAAGAAAAATTAATTTTTTGGTTATCTTATTTCATTTGGTTGCAACTGTCTTGGTAAGACTCTTGACATATTTCTTATTCATTAGTTGTAGAGAAATCTCATCATGTGCGTTTTTCTTTATACTAATATTTTTCTAAGCAAATTATGAATAAGGATAGGGAACTTACAGTGGATAGATTGAAATAAATCCACACCATCCTATGACCCATTTACCAACTACACACCTTTTCTTTTCGGGGGTCCTATTACCCCCCTAAACTTATTTTTACCATAATTGATTTAACATTATATGCTCAATTAAACTCGACCGTGACTACACCTCTTCCAAGCGCATGAGACCTAATTTTAAAAGGCATGTCTACTATTCAATCGCCATGTGTAATGCCAAATAAGCCATAAGAAAGGGTCCCAAACATTAAACTCAACTATTTTAATTGAACCCTTTATCTTATTCCTCTTTCTAAACTTAAAAGCTATCTACCATTGTTGAAGAAATTTTGTTGTTGCTGCTGCTGTTGAAATTGAGGTGAGTTTCAATCAACAGAATATAAATTACTAATATTTAGTCAATTCGATTTCATAATTTTTATGTTAGGGTTTAAAATTTCTTCTCTAATTTTTATATTTTAGGAATTAGGGTTATGAAATGGCAAATACCAACTTGAATAGACTTTGTATGGATGATGAAGACCCAATGCTCAATGTTCAAGTGCGATGCAAACATGGAATTTTGTTGCAAATGCAGACTTCTTGGTCGAAGTGAAATCCTGGCCGAAGATTTTAGTCTTGTCCCTACTATGGTGTATGTGTTCATTTCTAACCCGTCTATTATGGTTGATTATCTTTGTGTGTTGTCATTAAATTGATTCCAATTATAAAATTTTTAGGCCAAGAGTTGCAAATTCTTTCAATGGAGGGACAATGAAGTTGACGAAGGATCGAAGTTTATTCTTCCAAGATTGTTCGACAAAATTAAAGAGATGGAAGAAGATTTGGCACATAATGAAATCCTCAAGATGCAGTTGGTTGAGCTTGAAAATATGAAAAATGCCAATATTAATTTGGTTTTGACTGATGATGAAAAAGATAAGGGGCAAAAGAGAAAAAGAAAAGGACCTGGTGTTGTCTTAATGGGAAGTTCATTTTGTGTATTGTATTTTGTCTTTGTTGTTATGTGTTGATTACTGCCTAATTCAAGTAGGCAACTTGAAGAGTGATCAAATGAAGCTGTAATAGTAGATTTGCTGAAGTTGTAGTTGTTTTATGAGTTAACAATTATCTAGAAGTGTTTGGTTATGGTTGTAACAACTCTCTTTTGTTGTCATTGTGGTATGTAACTTCATTTTAGTATATGCTATGTAGAAGTTAATTATGTATCTATTGCACTTGCCATGATCGATTCCTTCAACTTCTATATATAAGTCACACTGAGGTTTTATGTAAATGGCAAGACACCATTGATTTTCATAGAAATATAGCTGCTACATTTCACAAATACCACCAAAATCAGTCAACAAAACATCAAATGTACTAAGGCAACATTTAAAAACTAATAGGATAAAAACTGTAGATTGTAGTCAACAAAAATAACCAACTGTCTGGCTTAGGGTATACATTGTCTACTTGTAGTCAACCAAAAACATCAAATAATTGTAGGTGAAGTAGATTTCAGTCAACAAAAACAACCAAATCTATTGGGGATGTGCAGAACTACTATTCTGGCTTAGGTTGTTTGATCCACCAGTCCTTGTTTGAATTCTATATTTCCCTCTAATCTCTTGAAGCCTTCTTGTTGTGATTGCTGGTTTTCCCTTCCATTTCAGTCCACTACTTGGTTTGAAACCAATGTCACCAGTTACATCAGCTGATCTTATTATCATTGCTGGTCCATTGGACTCTATTCTGGTACTTAGCGTGGCTACTATTCTACTACTTGGCATTCCAGGCTACAGAGAAAGAATAACTAAATAAGTTATAACAAATATACAAAACATATTGAATACCATAAAGAATATACACTTACATTCAAAGTTTTGAAGCCATTTTCAGCTTGAAACACACCCATTCCCATCACTTTTGGCCTTTTAAATGGTTTTGTATTTTCCACACCCTTTTCCATTCCTCTATTTAGTGTAGCAGTAGAGGCATTAGCTGCAGCAGATGCATTAGGTGATGATGATGTATTAGGTACAGAACATTCAAACCAACTAGCTAGTAAATGATAAGTAGCAGATGTATTAGGTTCTGAGTGAGTTGCATTCCAAGATCCTCCTCTTCCCCTACCTCTACTAGCTGCAACAGATGTTGCATTAGGTGCAGCAGATGTTGCATTAGATCCTCCTCTTCCCCTACCTCTACTAGCTGCAACAGATGTTGCATTAGGTGCAGCAGATGTTGCATTAGATCCTCCTCTTCCCCTGCCTATACTAGCTACTGCAATAGGTGCAGTTGATGTAGTAGCAGCGGCAGATGTTACAGAACTTGAAAATTCAGCAGCAATAGAGACATTAGGTGCAGTATATGTTGATTTTCTAGGTCTTCCTCTCCCTTTTTTTTGCAGTAGGTTCATCTTCTAAATTTCTTGGTTTCTAACAAATAATAAATAATAAGATATAGTGTTTGCATTTAAAAGGAACAAGATACACTTAGTTATATTATATTACCTTTGGTCTGCTTCTATTTCTTCCTGAACCTGATGCTTCTGCAGCAGTAGAAGTTACATTTTATGGTGTAGCAACAGTTCCTGAACCTGATGGATCTGTAGCACTCTTATGACACCCCCTCTTGTTGTGACCAACACCCTTGCAGATGCTACACCTCATGACAAGTTCAGTTTTAGGTAACTTTCCATATTTTTTGGTTTTAGTTGCCTCTTTTCTCCTAACCTTCTTGGGCCTGCCAGGCATACTTTTTACCACTGGTGGTGCATCAGGAGGGTTAGTAGATGCAGTCCACATTTTCATATTATTGAGTGGTTGAAGGAAGTGAGAATATGTCATCAAATATGTCTCCTTCATGTAGCAATTATCAACATAGTCAGCTGGTTCATACCCTTTATAGTACATTGCAGCTATGGCATGTGGCCATGGTATCCCCTTCAACATCCAAGCCCTACAACTACAAGTATTATTTCTTAGGCAAACAGTATGTTGATTTGTTCCCTCCTTAACCTGATATCCTGTATGTCTATTAAAAAAAATTGTACACCTCATTGACTTTTCAATATTTTCCTCTAAAACCTTTAATGCCATTGGAGGAATGTTGTAGGACCAAGTATTTGCAAATTCCCTTAACTTAGCTATTCTAGTCATCATCTTGACTCTTATTTCTTCAAGCATGGTAATAATGGTCTTGTGCCTTGCAGCTAGAATCCATGCATTAAAAATTTCAGCCATATTATTATCTACTACATCACACTTGACTTCTACATTAAAATACACCTTACACCAAGTCTCTTTGTTATAGTACAAAAGATCATCAACTATGTTCTTACCAAGCATACTGAGTGCTTTAAGATTTTTCTTGAGTTCAGCCTCATATGTACTTCTAGCACACTTCCAGAACAACATCCTCCTCTGAATCCCTCTCCAATTCTTTGACCAATTTGCAAGGATGTGCCTGGCACACATCCTGTGCTCACATGCTGGAATAATATCTTGAATTGCTGCTAGAAGTCCATACAAAAGAGGAAATTAGTTAGTAATCAAACATGAAACACAAAAAAGAATATCAAACATACTGGAATGATATACCTTTTGCATGTCTGTAATCAAGGTGAAACCCCTGCCATCTCCTATTCCTAAATCATCTTTAAGCAAAGATACAAACCATGACCAGGTATTTTTGTTCTCATATTCCACTACTGCTTAAGCAAGTGGAAGCATTTGGTTGTTGGCATTATCACACCTCCTTTTTCTACCACCGGAAGCGGTATATAAGGGAGTTTTTCCAATTTAAGTGACAATTGAAACGAGATTATTTATATTAAATTCAGAGTCACCACTTGGGATAATTTATGGTGTCCCAAGTCACTGGCTCAAATCCTGAATCGAGGAAAGATTGACTCTGTTTTATAGTCCACGAACACAGAAATCCGGGTAAGGAATTCTGTTAACCCGAGAAAAGGTGTTAGGTACTCTCGGGTTCCGTGGTTTTAGCACGGTCGCTTAACTGTTAATACTGGCCTATTTATTTGATTTTAAAACATCTCTGAATCCTATGTGCATTTTTTATTCCTTTGAAACTACTTTTAATAATCCAATTGTTATACAACTAATTATTTGATTACACATTGCGAATCATGTCACGGAAACTATACCCATGATCAACAACATGCTTATTTTATTAACAAGATTAAATTGTGGCCGGGTCACATAAATATACCCCCAAATTTTAGAAATTAAGCATTACAACTACGTCACGGGAACCATACTCGTAGCTATGTCAGTTTATTTAATTAACGTACCTAAATCAAACTGCGAAAGTTCAAGGCATTTTCTACATTAGTTAAGATGATTAATATGATAGACATAGATTATATGATTCAAATGTATGAATGGCATGCCTCAGTTTGTTAAAGGAAAAGTATTCAACTAAATGAACTACGGATATTCATATTTAAATGAATTTGAGATCAAGTATCACAACCACGCCATGGGAACCATACCCGTAGTTGTGATGATTTAATTACGTGCCTAAAGCAAGCTACGAGATTCATGCACTTTTAAAATTAACTCTAACATCAATGACCGACTGCGGATTATGATTGAACACTTAACATTAATACATGATTTTGATCTTCTGAATTGCTTGGCCCAAATAAATAGCCAATCACGCCACTTAAAATACCAACACTAAAAAACAGTTGGGCTAGCAATCAAACCCAACAAAATTGAAAGAAAACAACGACTAGACTTCCAAACCTAGCCTGAACCAAACTACTATATACAACTCGGAATGGACCTGAATAGGCCTCTATTGGCCCATAATGAAGGAGACCTTCATTGATCTCCATGGCTTGTGTATGTAAAACACTTACATATTTCCTTAGGCCCAATGATAGTGAAAGACCACCTTTAATCATCTAGTCTAATAAAAATAACCAAGTCTACAGTAACAGACCCAAAAATGCAATAAATCGATGAACATGGTCTTAATTAGATTGAAACATGGTGGAAGTAAACAAAAAAAACATATGATTAATTTCCCAATTTTTCCAGTATTACTCATACAAAGCATAATGAATGATACTAACACATTTAGTTAAACCCTTTTAGGAAAACTAAATGCAATAATAATAAACCACCCTCAGAATCAAACCAAGTGACCCCAATATAAACCCAGACCAAAATCAGTATACATCTTGACACAAAAACCGAATTTGAGTTCTAAAATTCATGTGTTTACAATGATTGCCTTTATACTCTAACACAAGTCTTCATCTACTGATATACTACACAGAACAAATGACTAGTAGAGGAAAAATATGTAGATTAATAAATCTTAGAAACCAACTACTAAAAAAAGTGAGTGAAAACATATCAGCCTTAATACAGGTATCATCATATTCACTTCCATTCCAGTGATTCAAAGGTGTACCTGGATATAGCAAACAAAAGAACCAAAATATACTTGAAGTCAGCTTAGGGCAGCAACATAGTAACAGATTCAACAGCAGGGAACATCAATGAAAATCGATCTAAGCAGCCTCAAACCAGCTTCATTTCAGCTTAGAAGTTGAGAGAAGTTCCCAGAAAATACCATTTCCAAAATTTTCAAAGAGAAGAAATCCAACTCAAGCTATAATGAAAGAATATTTTCTGCCGTTTTTTTTATCTTTGATGTTCTAATCTCTCTCCCAGAATTCAGGGGAATGAGACTCTTTATAGAGGAGTATTAGGGCAACAGAGATTGATTTTTTCTTTTACTATTACCCCTCCCCAATTTCTCTTTTTGTTCAATTCAGACCCTATATTCAAGCTTGTTTGTTAATCCACCCAATTCCCACCATCCTAGAAGCTTCCTAGATAGTTAGGAAAGATTCTTTTTATTCAATTCTCCTAACTACACCTTAAAAGGTTTGATAATTACTTTAAACCTACCATACATTTGAACCAATCTGCCCCAAATGTCTTTGGGCTTCTGCATTAATAAGCTTCAACAATTTCTTTGGGCTTCTTGCACTAGCAAGCCCAATCCCAAATCTAAGCAAACAAATTCACAAAAAATCCAAACTAACCAAGTTCTGAACCCTACTAACATTAGACCTTCTAAAGAAGCAGAAATAAAAGAAAAAGAGTAAAAGGAAAGGAGAAAATTAACAAGTACTAACAAGCTTCTGCATTAACAAGCTTCAACAATCTCTTTGGGCTTCTTGCACTAGCAAGTTCAATCCCAAATATAAGAAAACAAATTCACAAGAAATCCAAACCAACCAAGTTCTGAACCCTACTAACATCAGACCTTCTAAAGAAGTAGAAACAAAAGAAAAAGAGTAAAAGGAAAGGAGAAAATTAACAAGTACTAACAAAGAGATTAACTACACTTCTTAACCTATTATTACCAAATTAATCTACTGAAAACTCATATGTTCTAAACCTAACTGAGATAATAAGAAAGAGAAGTATACCGACTAGATCGATGACTCAAAGATAATAACATCCGATGAGAAGACCTCAACCCATAGTATGAACTATACCATGAGCATTGGCCGGAATTTCTTCAATGGCTTGTGCTCTTTGTCACAGTCCTCATCGCGAGCCAAGAACGAAGAAGAAACAATAGCTTGAAATAAAGACACATCGAAGATTGTTATCCCAGAATTTGGCTGTCATGCACAAATCGAAACATCAGCCAATTGGATCCTCACATTGAAACTAATTGATTCGCACATGCTTAACATCAAGAAGAGGACATATTGGGAGGAAATTACACAAAAAGGGACGAAAAGGATTTTATTGTTGTTTTAGATTTCTATTTCAAGGAAGCTGAGTGATTTTTGGAAAGAAATAGCAATGGATTCGGAGTGAGGGGCCGATGGGGGTAATATGGTCAAGATTGGAGGGGGTTTGGAGACCAACCGCCGCAACTGGCGATTCCGGTGGGCGACGGACACGGTGAGATACAAAGGGTGAAGGAGAAGATGGACAAAGTTATGTGTTGTATCTAAATGTGTTCAAACATCTTTAAACAGGTGGGCTGGGGCTTTACTGGCCGTTGGATGAGAAAAACTGAAGGGTAGAGATTGATTTTAACCGTTTTAACTCAATACGACGTAGTGTTGACTTCATACTACGTCGTTTCAGAAGCCTCACAGACTGAAGGGCTTGAACCGTGTAAATGGGCTGGACCGGGTATATTTGGGTAGTGGGCCTGGGTTTGGACGGATTTGGATGTAAAATTGGCCCAAGTTCACTTTCAAAATCCAGCTCTTTTTTTCTCTTTTTCCTTTTTCAACTTTTTCTTTTATTTTACTTTTCCTTTTCTGTAATTAATGAAATCCTAAAATTAAATTCTTAAATTATATAAATTGTAAAATTATACTAATTATCTAATTAAAATAATTGTAAAGCTTACTCGATCCTAAATAAAAGAAAAATCACTAATCTAAAAAATAAAAGGTAAAATGTAAACATGAGCCATTTTTTGATTTTTATTTTTAATAAAACAATTATCTAACTAATTAATCCTAAAATATAAAAACGAAGATCTAAATGCAATGCATGACTTTTTTTTTTGTATTTTTCATGATTTTAATAAAAATAAACATGCACAACAATTAACACAAATTCCTACAGAAATTCTATAAAATTGCAAACAATTGGGAGAAATTTATTTCTTTAATTTGTAGGAGTATTTCACATAGGAAAAAAATCACATGCTCACAGGCATCCTTAGCTACAACAACTAATAACTGCCCTCTACTAACTCCCTTCAAGAAATAACCTTCTAAACCTATGCATTTCCTGCACCCCATGAATGAATTCTTCAATGCACCAAAACAGACATAGAAACTTTGAAATACCGCCTTACCAGATTCATTAGCTTCACCAAGTTTTACCACACAAGTACTCTCAGGGTTGGTTCTTAACAATTCATCCCTATAGTCAAAAATTCTTCCAAACTCATGAATATGGTCATCCATAATTTCTGTCAATACTTTGGCTCTTGCTCTCCTAGCTGTGGTATTGCCAACATGCACTTTAAATTTCTTCCTTATTAACTCTTGTAACTTGAACACTCATGTTTGGTTGTTCAACTATTTTATCTTTAAACACTTTAGCCAGGTATTTAGAATTGCACATGTAATTTCTGGTGTCCCTATTACACTTATGAACTGGATTATAAGTCCTAAGCACAAAATTATTAATTGAAGTGTCAAGGCTTGCATACAACAGCCATGAACAACTATCCTTGCACCTTACTCTGACTCTTGTTAGCTCATTCACATACTTTTCCACCTGAACCCTCCTTTAAACAACATACTTGATTACTGCATCTCTAAATTCATCCACATCTGCAAAAATCATACCCAGCTGCCACACAACCTTTTTAGCTATAGGATCATAAACCACCTTCTTGGTAGAAGATCTTCTTCTTGGTAGATTACTCTAACTTTTTCCCCATCTTCAACCCAACATTCATCTTCATTTGTTTCAAAGTTACAAGCATCGGAACTTAGGTAATATGGTTCATCACCCCCTATCCTACCTTCTATACCTTTTTTACCTGTTTCAGTTTCATCAAACCCCAAATCTGGTCCAGCCACACCACATGGAACATTTTCAGGGTCAACAGGAACTCTTTCCTTTCTTTTTCTTCTCTGGAAAGACTTCCTCTCAGCCTTAAACTCTATGAACTCTTCATGTATATCACTACCATAATCCTCTATGCCATCACCAAAAAAATCACTGTCTTAATCAATTGAACTATCTTCACTTG